TTACAATGTTAGATTAGAAGGGTGAGCAATCCTCGAATACCTTGAGAACGTGTTCATTGTAGTATGGTGGTGCATTCTAGAATCAAATGATCGCGTAACGTGTCATAACGATCAGTGAAATTTAACAGTTCACTGATATAAACTTACTTCCACAAGTTATTTTAATAGTTTATTGTTCAAAATCAATAATAATAATTGGAAATAAAAAATGGCAAATGGCCGAGATATCCACGAATATAGCAAGCTATTTCTTCTAAAAGTAATTTTCTTCGAAGAAATTTTTAATAACCAACTTTACTTTTTCAACTTTGGGTTGATGCCCAACTCTGATGATGGTTACATCGAGCGTGAAAAAAAAAAGAAAGAAAAAAAAAAAAAGCAATTTTGCTCGTATCGTACGTACGATACAATAACAGGAAATATCACGAACTTGATAAGAAAGACGATGATTCCGGCAACGATGTGACACGATTTTTCAGATTTATACAAAAAAAAAAAAAAAAAAAAAATGAATAACAATTTTTAATAACAGTTGCGGTCGATGATGTCAGTTATGAATGGACTATTCGTTTTCGATTACACAATTATTGAATTATATAGACCGGTTAAAATAACTGGTGTGTTAGATAATGAACAATTAAATCAAAAGATGTGATAATAAAAATAAGTACGTTTCGAGATAACTTGAAACAATAATAACGGATAAAACGAACAATTTTACAAGCATCGAATTCGATTAGATTAGCGGAGGAATGGTGGTAATGGAGCGCGGACTAATTGATGAGAAGGTTATTAATCGAGGAATACTTTTCCAATTGACATCGTGACGTTCGTTGCGCGATTAAAGAAAATTATAACGAATTCGTTTAGGACGCCACGAAACGTGAACGATCCACGTGTCTTGCGCATTTGACAAGAAAAAAAAAAAAAAATAAGCGAGAGAAAAAAAAAGAAATTCAGAAGATTTTTTTGCGACGGGAAGAGGCGTATTATTTCTTCCTCCCGTATAATAATACGCATAAATCTTTATCGATTATAAAATAGTAGTAGATTAATTCATTTATGTAACGAGAAGCTTAAAACTAAATCTTTACTAAAAAAAAAAAAAGAAAAAAAAAACCACGACAAACAACCGTCCCGACACGTGTTTCCGACACGTGAATCATCCAAAAAGATTGTATATATCCGCACAAATTTCGTGTCATTTCGAATGAACAATAGATTTCGAGTTTAATGCCTCAAGGATAATGAGAGAAAAAAAAAAGGAAAAAAAAAAAAAAAATACGTAAAGAACTCCCGTAGAATTTTTAATTTTATCATCGACAGATTCGAAACGAGATTTGCATTCGTTAAAGTTTTCATCGAAGTGCCTATCGATCACTTTCGTTCAAGGTGTTCGCACAACGGTCTCTCGTTTTACAATTTAATTTGAAGTAGAAAAAGAGAGAGAGAGAAAAAAAGGAATTCGTGCGTGGGTTAGCGGAGAATTATAGCGAGCTCGATGACTCGAAATGTGCGCGAATCGTTTTTTTTATGCGCGAACATCGGCTTACAATTTCAATATGGTGATGATTCTGTTCGTTTTTCCCATACGAACGGAATATATATATATAAATACGTATATATTGATCGAGAGGCGGGATTTTTAGGTCAGACAGAATTCTCCTTGGAAAAATCGGGTTCGAAGGTCCTGACAATCATATAACGAGACTCGGTGATTCAAAGAACATTCGATCGTAAAGGGATAACAAAGTGGTCGATAAAGAAAAAGGATAGTTGGAGACCTCGACTGAGTATATTGCACCCCGTGCTCGATCACTTTTCTCGTAATGGTGCTCGCTACGAAATAAGTGTCAACAGGTTGGTACGTTAACGTTTCCTTTCCATTTTTGATCGAAATTTTGTATTATTTTTTCTATTTGTCTTAGCAATCACAACGTCCGGTTATTATCCATTAATTTTCCAACGACGAAGTGAAAAAATACGAGTCAAATAATTTCTAAAAATATTCGCCTTTCGGTATTGCTATCGATAATTGTCTTAACCTTAAATATTATAATTAGCCATAAATATTATAATTATATATAATTAAAATGAAAATTTATTAAAAAGAATTTTTATTTTCTATCAACAAACATATTTTTGTTGTACGTATTCATAATTTCGTTGCAATCGCACCAAAAGTCAAACAATTGTCCTGATACTTTCGAGCGACAGTATCTCCCTCTCCCCAGTAATATTACGAAACAGTTTCGTCCGTTCGTTTATACAGGAAGCAGACCGTTGACCGAGAACGAATTTAAAAAGATTCCTCGCCGAGGAAACTCGATCGTACGAAAGTCGTAAGTACGCTCGTTGTTATTGACATCACTTTTTTTATCTTGAGTGTTGAAACGTGGGTACAATCACCGTGGAGGTCGTGCCTCTTTTGTGAATGTATAATATAATTCTACCTTTTACTAAAGCGAATCAGCACCGTCGGTAACCGCGACGGAACGAAACTTTATGGAACGATGGAAAAATCAAGGGAAAATTTGTTGGATCAGTGATGAAGTTCGTCGAAACGCGATTTGTTCAAAGTTTGTTATCAATCGAGGTTCGATTTACCGCGAGGTGAAAGAATCTTTGTTCCGTCCTTGAGCTGAGTAAAGTAACTCAGCCTTATTAGCCGTCGAACGAACAAACGCTTCTCGAAAGATTTTTAGAAACGTTTGAACGTTTGTTCCTTTGAACTCTTCTTCTCTTGACGAAAGATTGCCACTTGCATCGAGAAAGAAACGTGCCCGATTATTTCTCTATCTACGTGAACTTCGAGTGGCGCATAATTATCAACACGATATTAATCTGGCTGGAGATCCGATTCCACGGGAGAAGAATCAAGGACCGGAGAGTTACTTTTCCAAAGTAAGTGGTTGGACTCGTTTCGATCGAAAAAAAGGGCTGGGAAAGGAGGGAACAATGCGGGGAGAAGGGGAATTTTTAGCGAAAAAGAAGTGGAACGAAAAAAAGGGGATGGAGAGAATATCTGGTGGTGGCGATCGAGAGGTCGACAGACCTCGAGACGGCCCTGGAAGGGCGGGCGGTTCGCGATGCGGTGATGTTTCGACGAGAGAGGCCGGTCGGCTTCCCTTCTCTATAAATGCGAACACAGCGGCGAAAATTATCTCAGTGTTGAGCGCGAAAAAACTCACGACGGACCTCTCGTCCTATGCGTTTGCGCGTGTGCGTAAAACCACGTGACCACCTTCTTTCTTTCTATTCGCGGGTCCCATCCAGGAGATTTAACGCGGAAGAGGTGTCAAGGGAATGGTCGTCGATCATCGTCGTCGTGGTCGTGGTCATCGCCGTCGCCGTCGTCGTCGTCGTCGTCCACTCGATCGTCGAGGACACTCGCAAGCGATCGCAATCGAAATAACTTCGATCGTAACACATCTCTTCTCCCTCGCCTTCTTCCGACGTGCCATCGCCGTTCCATCTACATTCCAACCTTTCCTCGTGACCGCGGATTTATAGATCGTTTCGCGGCGAAAATCCAGTTGCGGAACATCCTCGCATCGAGACGCGCACGAGACTCACCACTCAGAGCAAAGTAAAAGTGATTGACTACGATTAACGCTGATATGAGATTATCGTGAGAGAAATTTCGCCTCTTTTCTCGCTGTGTGTTATTCTCTTTCGCGTGTATACATTGTTTGCCGGAAATGGGAAACTGGACAAGACGTGATACAATTTGCAGAACGAAGAAACTTCTGACGTATATTTATTAGATAAATATATATATACCAAAGGTTTGTCCATAATTCTCTCTACGAATTACTTTACCTAGCGTGCATGGTTTTAAGTTTTTTTTTTTTTTTTTTTAGTTTTCGTTCTAATTGATTTTGACGGAAATGATGATTACTATAGAATTGGTATATAGACGTTTTAATTATATGGAACGAATGGAATCGTTCCATTTGCTTTTAAAACGTGTGATACGATTCGATTAATCGATAGCGCGGACAACATTGCCGTAAACATTACCCGTTATTTGAAATTATTGTTATACGAAAGAATAACAATTCGTTGTTTTACGATTTCACCTCCTCGATCAAGCGAAAACGTGAGACGATTTATATTTTTTTTTTTCTTCTTTTCTTTTCTTTTTCTCTCTCTACTATTGTAATAACAAGTGTAACGGCATAACATCTGCAATAATATTGTTATCGTGATATTTTGTCAAAATATTTATTTCTCGAAATTTTTATTTATCGATTTCGCGCGCCAGTGTCACGCGATCGAGAAATATTATCGAGATCTCGGTGAAAAAAAAAAATGTAACACTCGGCTCGAGATGCTTTGCGAATAGATAAAAATGATATCATTTATCGAAACAGTGGTTCGATTGTGTGTTTGGATCGGTCATCGGCGTGTCACGACTCGAAGTAGTGATGAAAGATCATTTGTTCGAAAAATTTCGAACACTGGCCGTGGTACGTTCGAGAGAACAAGGAAGGAGACGACGAAACAAACAACAGAGAGGCTCGTTCCGTTCGAAAAATTTTCCATTTTATTCGTTCCCACACGAGGCGGAACTTGCGACTCGTTTCAAATAACAATAAGTCGTGATCATTTTCATGGGCTATCGCGAATATCTTCCTCAAATTGGTATTATCCTCCAGGTTTTCCTGTTCACCGTCACCGATCTCTGTAATTGCAATTGTGCACGAGACCGGCCATAACGCGTACTTTATTCATTACTTGTATCGCGATTGCGTGAATCTTTGCAAGAAAAAAAAAAGAATAAAAGAAGAAAAGGTGTAAAATAGATGCAAAAGCATTTAACAGTTCGTTGCGACTTTATTAGAGTTGAACGAATAGTGAAAAATACGAGTTAATAGGAAAAAAAAAAAAAAAAAAAAAGAAAAACAAGAAATTGCACGAGGAAAAAATGCACGATAGGTCTGATGTTTTTAAAATCTTTGGAAAACCCAGAGCTAGATAAATTCATGTATTCTTTAATTTTTTATAAAAAGTTGTAGATTAGTTATCGTGTGCATTGTTCGTTCGCGAGTAGAATCGTCGTTTCAATTCGTGAATCAATCTTGGCAAGGATTTTAATCGTTTTAAACGAGATAATGTAAAAAAAAAAAAAAAGAAGAAAAGAAAAAAAGAAAGAATCTAATGGCCTAAATCAAATTCGTTGATGGACAAATTGCGACTCACGTGCGAAACTATCGCCTCGACGGAGGGAAAATCACTCTCGTGACTCTCGTGACTCTCGTGACCATAGGGACGAGTGATCGCTTTAAACGATTCCCATTATTCAATTCCTCGGCGAGCCCTTGCTCGAAAAATACCGTCGTCAAAAATTCTTTCGATTCAGACACGTCGTTCCATCCATCCTGCGCGTTCGCTTTTCCTTTCGTTTCTTTTCTCTTCCCAGTTGTAGTTAGAATTAATTTATATACATCGAAACATTCAATTTTCTCTCTGTTTTGTTCTCCTGTTACAGATACAGTCGGGCAGAAATTCACAGGATACACGATGATCACTCGAGCAAAATTATGGTGGAAAATGGTGTGTTCCGGCCAGCAGAGAGGTGTAAGGATGCAATAATTTTTTGACAATCGATCGAGTCGCGGGAGGGCAGGGGGGAAGAGGCGTGCAAGCCAGCCATTACACAATTCGTTTTGTTTCGCGTCATTGATTTCGTATATCTTTCCTCGGAGATAGATCTTTTCTCTTCCCCCGTTCTTATCGTTATTATCTATCGTTTAACCGATAGAATACAGATGTGAGAAGATCGAGTGTTCGCCGTGACAGTGACATCGAACGTTGCGAGGTGTCGAGATCGAGGATTCGAGAGAGGGGAAGAAGATATGAGAGAGATCGTGCGAATAATCGCGCGGATAATGCGCAAGAAACGAGCACGGAGAAGATCGAGGAACTCGACGACGGCCACGGTGTCTAAGAAGCAGGGAAGAATCGGCACACGTTACACAAGTGTACGCGTAACAACAATGCATTCGAACGATTCCAATCTGTCCGGTAATTATTTCGATTCGACGTGTATCTGTATCGTCGAGAGAACGAGATCCATCTCTCTCTCTCTCTCTCTCTTCCAGGCCTCTTTAAACGAGGCCAGCGTCGAAGGGGGAACGACTCTCCTTCGCCACCTCGCTTCTTACGTCCTTCCAAAGAAGAGAGAGAGGATTCGACGCGATTTTCCACGATTCCACGTGGAACCTGATTCCGTGGATATGGCTTTTTTAGATCGAGACTCGCCCCGAGCGACCGCGAACCTTCGCGTTTGACCTCCAACTAGTTCCTTTCCTCTTTCCGCTTCTTAACTCCGCGAGAATAAATTCTCTCGACAGAAAGAGAGAGACACACGATCGTCGGTTATTACAGATCGCAACTTACCAATCCTTCCTTCCCTCCAGTTCAAATACATAAATTTCGGGCGAGGAGTGTTCCAATCGTTTCGGGAAAAAGGTGCATCGATGATTTTCGTGCGTTATTCGCGCGAAACTAGTTCGAAGGATACGTAAATTCGTATGGGACGAGAAGTTTTTCGATCGTTTCGAGAAGGAAAAAAGGTTTCACGTGCATTGTTTACGCGAACGAGACTAGTTCGAAGGATACGTAAATCCGTATGGGACGAGGAATTTTTCGAGAAGGAAAAAAGTATCGAATGATTTTCGTGCATTGTTTATACGAACGAAACTGGTTAATAATTCGCAAATTCCGGACGAGGAGTCTTTCGATCGTTTCGAGAACGAAAAAAAGTTTCGTGCGTATCGAATGATTTTCGTGCATTGTTTACGCGTATTCGGATATACACATAATTATTTCGGTACACGTTCGCGGAACCTGTCTTCGATTTCTGCCCACGTAGCACGCGTGACAGACGCGCAAGCCCAATTGGCTGGAAACGTCATAATACCACAAACGCGATAATACCACATGGATAATCGTTTGAAAAATAACCGAATCGTGTCTTAACTTTCGAAAACTTGCTCTCAAATATGTCCTCCTTATTTATTTATTTTTTTTTCTTTTTTAGATATTTGCCGGACTAGCGGCGCATTCCAGTCAAATATCCGTGGGGCTTGGCCAAGGATTTAGCGCGATTCTACTTCCGCAATTATTGGAGGGCGAGCTGGTCGATCAAGAGCAAGCCTCTTGGATCGCCGCGTTGGGAGTTATCTCGAATCCCCTGGGTTCCCTGATCTCCGGCCTGTGCGCGGAATGGTTTGGAAGAAGATCGGCCATCGCTTTGGCTACTTTTCCATACGCCACAGGATGGCTGTTGATAGCTTTGTCGAATAGAGCCGTGTCCATGCTGTACGTGGGCAGATTCGTCAATGGTATCGGTATAGGGATGACCAATGGCATTTATCTTTACGTCAGCGAGGTAAAAAACTAAGAACGTAGCCGTAAATATTTCTAATTAATATGCATATAAATCGTTGTTTGCTCGCTCCCAGACTGCCGCGCCAAATCAAAGGGCCTGGTTAGGAAGTTGTGGTCCGGTTCTGGTTTCCCTAGGAGTTTTGATGATTTACACGCTGGGAGCGTTCACCTCGTGGCGTAGAGCCGCCGCGATCAGTATCGGCCCTTCCATCCTCTCTTTGGCATTGTCACGGTAATTCCAATTGCTTGATACGAGCTTTAATCAACTCTTAAATTAATTAATCGATTAATATCGTTTCTTTCTCTCTCTCTCTCTCTCTCTCGGATTCAGCATAATCCCAGAAACACCGGCTTGGCTGGTTGCTCGAGGACGGAACGAAGAGGCAAAGGAGTCGCTGTTGTGGCTAAGGGGATCTAGCTCGAGCACGGACAAGGAGTACGAGGAGCTTTGCGAGGAAAATGTGAAAAGAGAAAAGGAAAGGGAGAGTCTGTTGAAAGCTCTACACATGCCAAGCGTGTGGAAGCCTTTCCTCGTCCTCCTCGTTTTCTTCGCGTTTCAACAAATGTCCGGAATTTACATAATCCTCTTCTACACGGTGAACATTCTCGAGGACATCGGTATCGAGTTGAACGAGTATTCGGCCAGCGTTGGGATAGGCGTGATACGATTGTTCGCCTCAATAGCCGGAGCCGGTCTGGCGAACAGTTTCGGCAGGAAAACTCTGGCTTTCCTCAGCGGCCTAGGAATGACGATATCCGCTGTAGGGGTTGCTCTCGCGTATAGGTTGGTGGCGATATGATCGAAACGCGTTTGGGTTGGGAAAAGGCAAAAGCTTTATATAATAACGCTTTACCCTTATTTACAATCGTCTGTTTTTTGTACTCAATTACTACTTCCTCTCGTCATTGACATCGATTTTCTAAGAAAATCTAATCTCGATCCAATTTTTTCTCTCTCAGGTTCAAACTGCCGTATGTGGTATCCTTGGCGTGCATCGGAGGCCACGTGGGTTTCTCCATGTTGGGATATCTCACCTTGCCCTGGGTAATGACCTCTGAGCTGTATCCGTTAAGGTTCAGGGGTCCACTGGGGGGCATCACCACAAGCATAGTGCAAATGTTGACGTTCGCCATCATTAAGATGTATCCGAGCCTGCACGACATGGTCGGGATCGAATCCACGATATGGATATTCGCCGCTGCCTCCATCCTAGGCGCTATATTCGCATTGACCATTCTACCCGAGACGAGGGGTCGAAGCTTGGACGAGATCGAAAGAGGATTTTCGAAGAAGACATCCGAGCCGAATTCTTCGACCGACGTTCAACCGACTATCTTCGTCCAGCCTAAAAATATTACGCTTCAGAGATTTGCCTCGATCACGGAAGAGAAACATCGTAATAATAATATGACGACGAACGCGTATACGTACGATAATTTCTGTTTGGATTTAACGTCGGACGGAGATACGGAGAAGAAGGAAGTTGAAAAGAATTCCGACACGAGTCGTACGAATGTTGCCAATGCCATCACGTTGGAAACACGTATACTTGATTAAATACGATCAATAATTCAATGGATATTGTTTTCTTTTTCTTTTCTTTTTTTTTTTTTATTAAAGAAAACAATCGATGATTGTCAATCGTCACATAACGAAAATAGACATTTTCCGAGATTTCACTTGTATTGTGATATCTTATCGATAAACGTATATATATATATATATATTTATTGAACAAATCTTAACTATGCAAAATGAAAAATTCACCAGTATTACAAATATTTCTGTGACTTTGTTTATCGAATGTGTTCTTAGAAGTGGTGAAACGAGTTAATCGTGAATATTTTTAATATGATTACGGAGGAATGATTTCTTCTTCCTCTTTTAACAATGATTATGCAATTTAAGGAAACGATTGTTAATGTATTATATAACGTATGGTGAAAAAAATAAATAGAATTTTGTTGAACGTTTCAATTGAATAAGAAAAGATAAAAATGCGATTGTTAATATTAATATCATCTATATTTTCATATGTAAAATTAATTGAGCGTACTCTGCGTATCAAATTATGTAAGTATTTATGTATATAGCTTATATATATATATATGTATTTATAGATATCTGCTCAAATATTTTTTTCATTCGTTACATTATAAATCGAGATATTTGTAAATACAATTTCTATAAAATGTACATAGTTTTATTTGATAACAATAAATGTATTATTTTTTCAATAAAAGTAAAAAACATTTTCTATTGTTTTACAAGAACTACACTTCAAAACGCGTGATACCATATCCTATAAAACGAAAAATCTATGTCTCATTTATTGTATTACTCGCCAATCTCAAGTGCCAATATTAAAGAAAAAATATCCTTTTGTCTTTAACTAATAAGTTTGTACAACTAATTAATATAAATGACAACCATTCTGTACGAGAAAATAAAACAATGAAAGAATTAATATGAAAAAATTTAATCAATCTTTTTTCGTTTGTAATAATGAAATTTGAATATTGGATTATCGGAAAAAAAATCCTAATTACAAATAAATAGAATTAATATTCTTCAATATCATAGATAAAAATAAAACAAATAACGGGATAAAGATGTAATAATAATGTAAAAATATTGAAATATCTCCAAAGTGTCGTAAATGAAACTCTTGTAGAAAGGACAAAGATATAAGAATTAACTGTTAGCGCCATCTGTGTGAATGTTAAAAAACATTTTTCAAAGAAAAATTTCTTTGTATTCGAGAGATGGCGCTAATAACCAATTTTTAACTTAGCTTTATCTTTTTCTTATTATTTTCTCTCTTTATCTAATTTGTGTTTCATTGTGGCACTAATTTTTGATGATTTTATATGATTCATATGATTGATATTAAATGAATGATATGAATGATTTCATAATTTTTAATCTATCTCTTTTTTCTATTATATTTTCTCCTTGTCTACTCAATTTGTTTCAATCCATATCAATCTAAAACACTTTAAAAATGACACTGATTTCACAATTTTTAACTTATGCTTGTCCTTCAATTATTTGTTCTCCTTATATCATTATAGACAAGAATATATCTTTAGTCTAATCTTTATAGAATAAATGTAAATAATAAGAAGAAATAGTAAATGACAAATCAAAGATAGGATAAAAATAATTTTTTGGAACATATAAATATATAGTAAAAATCGAGAAATATTAATTAGAATATAATTAAAAAAAATATAGCTTTAGATCATATGATACAGGCAAAGAACAAAGATTATATAAAAAAACAAAAAAAGACAAAAAAATGATTTTGATCGTATGCTCCTCGTATGCTTTTATTGAAAAAGTTAATTTTTTAATAAAAAATGAAAAAAATATATTAATTTTCGTTTTTTATGATTAATTTGCAAATTTTCACAGTTTAATGACAAAAACAGATATTTTAGGAAATTTCACGTATTTTTTGATTAAATATTTTTATATAATTATTAACAATAATTTTATAGGAATATCTAAAATAATATTTATGCTTACGATTTTATTTTATTAAATTTCATTCTTTTATGTAATTAAATTATATCTTATATACTTATCTTTAAATAATTAATCACATTTTTTTACATAACTTGGAAGTTATGTAAAAAAAGTTATTAAATATTATTAAAACAATATTTTCTTTTTTAAAACAAAGACAATTGTATAAAAATAAAACATAATGTTTATTGATTACAAATGATCATGTAATACATAATGCACGATATTAAAGACAGTCCTTTAATTGTAGCACAATTTTAATATAATTATGGTATGAAGTTTCCAAAATTCACGACATACATATCAATTAATGTACTGAAAAATATTTGTCAATATGTACAAAGCTCATGATTCCATATTTTCAAGAGAAAAATAATGTATTTGATTTTTGCGTAAATCGCAAAAAATTGGATTGACTATTTCGTTCTAAGTTTTCACATTTTCATCGTACCACGCATATCTGGACATCCATTTGTTTAAACAATCATCGCAAATGATATATACAGTAAAAATACATACATATTTCGTGTACGATATGATTTGAACATTTTTCGATCGCTCTATGTGGAGATGGTACGTTTATTATACGTATCTCCATTATTATTAAAATCTCAAGCATAGCAATAAATGCAAAAAATTATCGAATTCTTAAGTACAAAATGAAAGGCGTATTAATGAATGTGAAAACATTCATCGATGAATACATTTAAAACAAAACGACTTTCATTAGAATTCAATCATGACTTGATCAACTTAATTGGATTATTAATAATACAATCGCCATAATTACTTACGTCATTTACAAGCTCTACTTTCATATTTCCGTAAGTCAATATTTAGGCAGTTTAGGCTTTTCCTACAAATATCTAAGAAAATAGGGCTAAACTTCTCTTTTCTTTTTCTATTCTGTACTATTAAAAATTTTGTCAGGCAATGTAAATCCGCTTTTGTATTTACAACGTGTCATTTATAATATGATATTGTTCATTATTTTTTTAATTCTTGCTAATTAAAAATGCTTACGGTTTTGTACGATAAAATGTTATTGATTTTTTTTAATAAAAAAATCTTTACAAAAAATATCAAACGCTTGTTTAATACATCTGTTGAAGATGTATTAAAAATATAAGTAAAAACGAAATTTAATCCAACATGTCTTGATACTTTAAATAAAAATACTATAAATGGAAGACCTTATTAAACTTATTAAAAATAATAAATGCAAAGATTCTGTGCAATATTAATCATATGTCAGTATTCTAATATTATTCTCCATAATATAGAGAGAGCATTTTGCTAGTAATCTGTCTAATTCTATATAGACAGTAAAATTATAAATGTATACTATAAATGTTCATATAGTTATTTATTCGACTATATGTTCATTGGTTAGTGTCCTTTATGGTCCACTCATGACTCGTTTTTAAGAGTTCAAATAATAAAATTCTCTTGTCATGTTTTCTATTAAAATAGTGATTATAATAGCAATGGACAAAATTCTAATCGTATCATTACATTTTATGATTCAATAAAAAGTAAATAAAGACATTTAACTTTTCTTTTCTTTGTTAGTCTATATTGAATAAATTTCAAATATATACTATATATTTGACCATGACCATATAGAAAATTACGATATTCTTTTTATTCATACAATTTGTACTTTTTCTAATTGATGAAAGATTGATTACATTGCAAAATATAGAAAGCTTTATTATTCGAAGATATAAATATTGCTTGATTATTAAAAATATGCAATTAATAGCGCAAGCTAGTAAATCTTAGGAATTTATGTTAGGAATTAAATTTACGAGTCTATGAGTATATCCTTATGTTATAATAAAAGCGATAATGTAAAATAACGTGAGTCGATTTTCTTATCACATTATCGTGTCTTTTTTTAATGAGGTATCAATTATATTAGCAATTTACTATGAACTTCGAATGTCTATGTTTTCATCTATAAATCTTGTTTTGTACCAGACACATTTACATGTTGACTCCAATGTCAGGAGCATTATGTGCATGCAATTGTGACATTAAAGCAAAAAACAATAGTATATTTTTTCATATAAGATATCTAATTAAAGTTGTGCTTATTGAATAATATAAACTTTCTTTAAATCTAATATTATTGCTCTCTTAGCCAATGCTTAAACACATATTATCATATCTCTTTTGGCAGTTCGCAATTTTATCGAAATGTTAATAGTAAAAATGAAGGTATTGTCATTATTACTTATAAGAGACTGACAATTGCATAAGAGACTGACATAATTGTTAAGAATTGATTTCCCATATTCAATGATTTTGTTATTTCATATATAGAAGTATTATGTCAAAATTGAAAATAACCAACAACTCGTCCAAATTAATCTTGCAGCATCAATATTTCCATGCATCGAATCGACATTTAAATTCTGAAACGCTTGATGATCTAAGCGTGACACCTGTTGTCAGTAATATTCCGAATCTGAACTATGTTGTGAATCGCCGCTTCTACCGTTTAAATACACTTCTGATGTTTGTTGAATTGACGGTGAATGTTGTGCAATTTCCCAATTTTGACCTGTGATAACAAATAATTAATAAATAAATAACTTAACAGAAAGAAAGTAAAAGTTATATAGAATTAATTTATATACCATGTGCAGCAAGGATAGTAGCTAAACATCGTGCTACAGCTGGATTTGGAGCACAAGCTAATGCAGGTGTAAGTCCTTCTGCGTCAACAGCGACAACACTTGCACCCAATTGCAATAAACGTCGTGTTACCTATAAAAGATAAATTTCTCTAATTATTCTTATACTTCAAACAATTAAAAGCAAAATATTATTTCCTACCGTTACAAGGCCATTTCTTGCTGCTAAATGCAATGGAGTTCTTTGTTGTTTATTGGTCATATTAATAACTGTCATACTTTGCTGTTGTTGTGATGTATTTTCACCATTAGTATTAAGCGAATTAATCCAATTTAATAATAATGAAGCAGCAGCAGAATGTCGTCTTTGGCAAGCTAAATGAAGAGCTGTATTTTTATTACAATCAACAGCACGCACATCAGCTTTCCATTCAAGCAATAACTCTATGAATAAAAAATTATACCAATGTAAAAAAAAATAGATAATTAAAAATAGATAATTAAAAATAAAAGCGAGTACTTACCAATAGCACTACATTGACCCGTAATAGCAGCGCAAAGAAGAGGTGTACGACCTGAATAATCTGGAGTTTCAAGACCAGCTAATTCAGGTCCAACAGAGCTTAAAATCAGTTTTGCACATTCTACAGACCCTGAACTAGCTGCAACGTGTAAAGGCAATCGACCACCTGGAACATCTCTCGGAGCAGCAACAGTTTTCCCTCCAAATTTATTTATTAATAATTCTAAGCAGTGAGCTGATCCTTGATATACTGCACAGTGAACAGCTGAGAATGGATTACCTGTATATATAAAAATAATTTATATCTAAAAATCTACTTAAAAAATATAATAGTTTCAATATAAATAGTTAAAATATCGAAAAATACTTACCCTCTAAGGAATCAATTACATTTTGTTCCAATAGATATTCAACACAATTCGAATTTCCATTATAGCACGCCCAATGAAGAACCGTACATCCTTGATCGTCTTTTAAAGTGGCAGCAGTTGAATTAACTTTGACAAGAGAAGCCAATGCTTTTACTCTACGGAAAAATTAACTTTAAGTTTATAAATAAAAATATAAATAAATTCTGTGATTTAAAAAAAAAAAATCTACCTTCCACATGCGGCGGCTAAATGTAACGGTGTTTTACCATTTGCATCTTGTATCATCACTTGGGCACCATGTGATAATAATAATTCCACTAATTGATGATCACGCTCTTTAACCACTGCTCGAAATAATGGCGTATGCTTATTCACATCCGGTAAATTACAATCTGCTTTATATTTTAAAAGTAATAGAGCACATTCTGGATTGCTATTTGCCACTGCTAATGTTAATGGTGTTCGTTGTTTTGTATCGTAACAATTGACGACATTTGAATCTTCTGTATTTTCTAATAAAAGTTCTAAACAATTAAAATGACCTGCCGCCGCTGCACAATGTACTGGAGTACGCCTTGTAATGGAATCTTGAACCGACACACAAGCTCCATATCTTAATAAAAGTTGAACGCATTGTTCATGACCTTTATAAGAAGCTAGATCCAAAGGTGTTTTACCAGTATCTTCTTTAATATTAGTATTGGAAAATAATGGTAATAATAAACTTAATATTTCACTGTGTCCATGATATGCCTATAATATATATATATATATGCATATAAATGCATTTTAAATTATTGAATATATTAAATTGGTTTGTCTATACTTACAGCAAGATGTAAAGATGTTAATGCAGGTGGAGGTTCCGATTTTCCTGTAGAATTAGATGATATTGTTAAATTTCCTGGTGGACAAGCTTCTAATAAAGCTTCTAAAGCTGGTTGATTTCCTCCAGCTACAGCATAATGAATAGCAGTAAAACCTCGTTTATCGCGTAAACGCGGATCTGCTCTATGTTTTAATAAATATTGTACGCATCTAAAAAAAAAAATGATATAGATTATGTTTTCAAAAATACATTTATAATAAATAAATTACATATGTATAATATGTATAATCAAATACTCACTCAGCACCAGAATCTGTAGGATTTGATGCTGCAGCTAGATGCAAAGGAGTTGCACCATCTACATCTTGTGCATTGGAATCACTTCCAAATCCAACTAAAGTAAAAACGCAAAGATAATGACCTTGACTAGCAGCATGATGAAGTGCTAACCTGCTATCATTGTCAGTTAATCGGAAATTAGCTCCACTGGATAATAATAAATCTAAACAATCAACAGATCCTTTGAATGCTGCTAAATGTAATGGTGTTCTACCACCAATATCTCTTGAATCTATACGTCGACTATCAACTTGTAATAATTTTCTACAGACCTATAAATAATTATATTTAAAATATCAATATTTAAGAAAAATATTAGAATATATATTTAGAAGTATTTTTATTATATATGTAAAGAAATATTCTACCTCAATATGGCCTGCCAAGCAACTAAGATGCAATGCAGTACGCTGTTCAGTATTTCGCGCTGCTGGAGATGCACCACATTCTAATAAAGTTGTTGTTAAACATTCATGACCAAACCTATATAAAAAAAATTTTGAATTTAAATATTGAAAAAATTATTATTAAATAAAAAATTATATTGTAGCTTACCAAGCAGCAACGTGTAAAGCGGTATTTCCATTTTTATCTTTAGTATCTGGTGATGCTCCTGCATCTAGCAAACTTTTTGATCGTGTAAATCTTCCATGAATTGCAGTCATATGTAAAGGTGTACGCCCATCTTCTGATTGAACATTTATTCTCAAACCAGCTTCTAAAAGAACTTCTAAGCAATGAACACCATGTGTACTAGCAGCAGCAACATGTAATGGCGTTTGTCCCCGATAATTTACAGCCTCTGTTACATAAAGAATAATTATAAAATAAAAATGATTTTGATAATTTGTCATAGATAAAAATATTTCTAAAATTTAAAATAATCTTACCAACGTTTGCAGCATTAGCAATTAATTCTGTAACTGCATCAGCATGACCATTTAAACATGCAATATGCAGAGGAGTATTTCCATATACATTTTTTGCTTCAATATCCGCTCCAGATTTGATTAATGTATGCATGCATTCTACATTACCAGATGCTGCAGCTGCATGCAATGGAGTATATAAATCCCGATCCTTAATAATATAAATATAGTTATATGTTTTATAATATAAATAACAAAAATAAAAATTAAATAAAAAAAATTAAAAATATATTACTTTAACATCTACATCTGCTCCTTTTGCTATAAGTGCTCTCACAATTCCATCATGACCCATATATGCTGCAAAATGTAAAGCCCTTCGATCTTGTCTATCAGAAGCATTTATTACACAACCAATTTGAGCCAAATATTCTGTCATTTCCAAATGTCCATTGTAAGCTGCATGATGCAAACTTGTTCTACCACCTCTGCAAATTTTTATGAAGTTATTAATTTATATTTAAAATTAATTAATAATTATTTGATATAATTAATTAGTAATTAAATAATTAAAATATTAAAAACACAAACCTATCTGCTACATTAATGTTCATTAAATGTGGAACTATCAATTCTACACATTGGACAGCATTATTTGCTGCTGCCACATGTAAAGGAGTTTGCCAACTACGATCCCTGATATTGACATCTGCTTTATGACGTAACAAAACTTCTACTACATTATGATTCCCTGAGCAACAGGCTCTATATAAAGGAGTTAACCATTTTTTATCTTTAGCATTTACTGCAGCTCCATTTAATAAGAGTGCTTCTACAATTGCTGGATCTCCCCTATATGCAGCTGCATGTAATAAAGATCGTTGCTCTCTATCTTGCCAGTTTGGATCTTCTTTTCTTGCTAATAATGCTCGAACTTCATCTACATCTCCAAAAAATATGGCTTGTAGCAAAGGAGACTGTAAAAATATTACATTCTATCTCAAAAAATATTAAAAGCATATATATTTTATATAGCTCTAATTATTTTTACAAAAATATAATAAAGTCAATCTTTAAATAATAAATAAGAAACAATACTAATAAATAATATAAAAAAACTTAATAAAGAGAAATAATTTGAAATATTAGAAATACTTATTCTAAAAAATATTTTAGTTATAATATTTTATTATATTTATGAAATAGATTCATATTAATTTAAAGATTTTAAACTTCAAATTAACGTTTATAATAATATTGCAGGATAAAATGTAAATAAAATCATTATATTATAAAAAATTCGAAGCAAATCGAATATTTGACACATGAATATAACCTCCGATTTTATAATTTATATATTTAAAAATTTTTTAATGAAATGCATTTATTTAAAGAAATAAGACAACATACCCCATCACGCAATTCCTGCACGTTCATGATTAATGAGATTTTCAATTTATACAAATACGGAAGTATTTATAAAAACATAGTTATAGAACCGTAAAAAACTGACATAGTAGAATGAGTCATACTTCACAAGTATCATTAGAGATGTTATTTTCTTTTTGCAATCGGTAATTTATTAAAAGCATATTGTTAATTCAACTGCTTTTGCAAATAAATAGCGGTATCATTTATGTAAATAAATTACGAAAATATGCATAATAATTGTATCTTCTAATATAAACAGTTATAGCTATCTTCTCATAGTGCACTCTATCCTTATACTGTCAAATTATCAGAAGCTTGTAAACAGATGAAAATGCAAACGCTACACTCGCGCGAAAATTGAATTGTTTCTTTAAAATCATATCAAATGACACATGTTTATCTTTCATTTGTTTTTTGTTATATTATATATAAATAAAAGAACTTATTTCTGGCCAAATAATATTTTTACATATTAATTTTCTACGCCGATATGGATACTGATATAGTTAATCAAACTCAATATTGTATAAATAAAATTAAAAAAAAATATGTAGATAAATTTAAAATAGAATTAGAAAATGGCACATTAAACATAATACCTTCGAAATTAAAATTTACTTTCGATTCTGATAATTTTAAAATTCAAGAAAAAACAATAGAAATTGCAAACTACTTTTCGAAGCCATGTCCCATTCAATTTTTACCATTAGAAACTCAATATTTTAGAATTAAAAATATTTCTCAAGTAAGTAAGGAATTTAAATTTTTTATTTGATATTTTTAGTTCATATTTTATATAAAATTTATTTATATTATAGAGGATATGGCTTAATCCTGGATCGGTTTTCAAAATAAATATTCTATTTATACCTGATGAAAATAAAAATTATAATGATGTTTTAAAAATACGATATTTGAATGATCAAATGATGCAAATAAAAATTTGTGCAAAAATGAAATCCCAATTTTCTTTTCCCACTACTATCAATTTTGGAAATGTACCACTTGGTCGAATGTAAGTTTATTTTTCAATTATTTATTTGATAAATAATAAATTTAATTATTTATTGTTGAAGGGCTTATTATAAAATACCGATATATTCTCACGCAGAAAAAGAAATTTCTTTCTCTATTATATTATCTAACGGAGAATCGTGTGTCGACATTTATCCTCGATGGGGTTCATCTAATTTTTTTAATTCTTTTAATTTGAGTCATTATTTTACAAAATATTATATTTATGATATATTTTAGGTCATATAAAACCAAAGCAAAAACCAGTAACAATTATGGTTATTTACAAACCACTTCGATATATAAGTATGAATTTTCAAATTCGAATATTCATATCAGATTTACGTAAAACTCCATATGTTATAAATTTCTATGCGTATACTCGACCAGGCCTTTTACGGTAAGGTTACTTGCATAGACATAATATTTTATTAGAAAAAATAAAAAGTAACATACAGATAAATGTAATTAAAATAAACATTAAATGATTAGAGAAACATTGGAAAACGTCAAATTGAAAATGAAAAGCAAAACATATAAAAAAAAAATTGATACAAACATTTATAAAGAAATAAAGCCAATTCCCATAAAAATGGATAAACCGAATTATTATTTAAACAATTCTTCTATAAAATACAGTTTTGAAAATATTTTGTTAAAACAATGTACTTATTTTCCCTCGAATACTTTGCACGCTGTTAATTGTATTTTAAATTTGAAAATTCGAAAATCATACAACAAATATGAATTAAAGGGTTAGAGATTTTATATATATATTTTATATAAAAATATATATAAAAAATAGATTATTTATTTATTAGGAGCATTGGGTACCATTTTATTTCAAACTATGGATCAAAAAATGAAAAAATTAAAAAATTTTTTAATAAAAGTAGAAGATTATTATCAAAAAAATGAGCAAACAAAATTTCATCACAAACCAAAAGTAAGTTATGGAAAATTCGATCCAAATGAAAATCAAATTATTGAAATTAAAACACAACGAGAACAAACATGGAATAAATATAAAAATTTAATAATGAATTCGGAAAAATGTTTATTTGAAAAACAAAAGGCTGAAAAACTAAGGCAAAGAATTCTAAGAGTTTCTCAAAAAGTATTTATCTTAATTAAAAATTATTTTTCTTTTTTATTGAAAGACTTCTTTATAAATCATTTTTTTTTTTTTTAGTATCCAACCTCAGTATCAGCACAGTCTAAGAAAGAAGATTCTTTTATCCATAAATGCAAAATTTTACCCTTTCTTCAGGTAGCTCGCAAAATCATATTAAAAAATCGATTATTAAAAGTACTCACAAATTTGCAAAAAATAACACCCGAATTAATTAGACAATTTGAAGAACCAACCATAGAAAATCAATTACTTATGATACAAATTTAATTATATTGAAAAAAACAGAAGTTCAAAAATGTTATGTGATTTGCTACAAAATTAAAAAAGCTTAGTATTATTTTTTTGATTTGTTATTTTTTTAATTATTAATTTACATTATACTATTTAATTTACTGTAAAAAATCATTAAATTTTAAAGAATTTAAATTACTACAAATATTTATTTTAAAGTCACGTGCGTCATCATAAGTTTTATAGATGGCACTTTTATGAATACCGCCAAAACTTAGGAAAAAGTGTCTACTTGTAGTTGATACATTTATTAATCTGAAAAAACTTAATAAAATAATGTAATTATTTGTAATATAATTTAATATATTATTTACAAAAGAAAACATTATTTTTTAGATTTAAATATAAAAAAATGTGTTTAAATTTAAGTTGATATTTGATATTTGAAATGGATTTATATTTTCTTTAATAATATTGTACACATGGATCTTTGTTTTACTTTCAATTGCAATGGAAAGGTGAATTTTAATGATTGGGAATTAGATAAAAATAGTTTATTTTTACAAGGAGAAATAGAAAATGTTCTATATCCACAAGAAAAATATTTTTTATTAGATAAGAATATACAACTTTTTGATTGTAATGTGCCAGCTGCAACTGCTCTCTTGGATTTCAAACATTTTAATAAGTGTATGAAGTAAGAAATTTTTTCTATGAATACAAATTATTTTAATTTATTTTAAAAATATCTTCATTAGTATTATTTTATTTATATTTTATTAGTATGCAATTAAAAATACTCAGCAGGCATGAGATTTATGATCAAGTTTTAAGTTCAAAAACACATGATATTAACTTTTATTATATTAGATGTATTATATCAAAATTTATTTTATATGTTCGAACGTATTTGAATAGGTAAGATAATTTATTTTTTCAAGATATTTCATCCTAGTTATTGATTATAAATTAAAAATATATATTTATTAGTATTAAAGGAAACTATCTGTCATTAGAAACTATAAACATGGATATAAAAACTATAAACATGGATATTGAAGAGGAATTTAATTCATTATTATTATAATAAAACATTTTCTTGAAAGGATATATAATATTCCTGATGCTACATTTCATTATGTACCCTCTAAATTAGGCAATCAGGTTTGTAGATAAATAATAATATTTAACATATTAATTTTATACTTTATACATTCTAGTGTACACAACCAGAATATCATATGTATCATATGCACATTGAATTAAGATGGTTTTTTATTTCATTAATATATACAAAAAACATATATTGTCAATATTCAATTGAAAACTACTTGGATGAGTTTGAAAACATTCAAGCAATGATAATTAATGATTTAATTTATATTTCATTAAAAATATTTGAAACGGTAAAAGTATATTAACTTATTTAAAAAAATTATTATCAAATATTTAACTATTTTATATTTATATTTGTCCTTTTGCAATATGTTTTAGATTCCTTTAACTCATGTACAACAAAAGACTCCATATAATTGCACTTGTATTCGTGAATTATGGCTTATGCTTCAAATATTTATTGATAATTTATCTGATAGAATGAAATCAAAGGTATTAAAAATTTTTTATGAATATATTTATATAATATATTTTTATAATATATATATTTTTGTGTTTATTTTTTAGACTTTCTGGAAGTATATCAATGAATGTATCAATGGATTGTTGAATAGGAATGCATCTAATAATACTGGACAATTTTTTTGTAAAAATACTGAATTATTCTGTTTATGGATTATTCATCATCTTTCGCTTTTATATGGATATAATAGTGATGGAGTATATTTAGGATCTAAGTGTTCACGAGTAACTATATTTTAATTTTATTTAATATTTTATTTTATTTACTTTCTTATTTGTTAATAAATATATCTATTACTTTGTTATATATTTATTTATTTATTTAGATCAGGCCTAATTATGAACAATTAGAGAAGATCTTGAAAACATATATTTCTAAAGGTGGAAAAGATGGTGAACGGGATGAAATTGATGAAGAATTATGTATAATGATACCTTTATTAAATATTATTGTTACTAATTGGTGGCAACCACGAGTTTCAATTATTTCTCTTTTGTGGGATTGCTTTCATAAAAGATTAGATGAACCATTTCTCTTACAAGTATCTGGCCCTTGGACATTATCAATCGAAAAGTATTTGTAAATAATTTGTGGTTTTATATATTTTTTTTATCATAGTTTTTAAATAAATTCATTGGTTCAGGAAAACCGCTATGGATCTTCTTAAACAAGTAAAAGAGAGACTTAATAATATAGAATCTATTAAAGAATCAAGTTATGGAATGTTTTTACGTTTACTTGGTAAGTTTTTAATTTCTATGATTTATTTCTAAATTAGTAATTCTATTTATATATACTTATGTTAAAGGATCTTTTTTACGCATAAATTATAGTAATAATGATACAAAATATTGGAACCAAATTAAAGGTCGTATTTATTCTAAATTTTCAAAGGGTAAAGTTCAAGAATTTTCAATAACTGGTTTATATAATTTTATTTCATTATTTTTAACATTAGCTGTTACTACTGATACTATAAATGTTGTAAGTAAAATATTTGCTATTGTTTTTAAAGATTTTTTTTATAAAAAATTTATAACTATTTTTTACAGTGTTCAGTAATGTTAGATCTTTTGCCATTGACAAAAGAATATAATAATGAAAATAGTAAAAAACATAATTTAATTTGGAAAGGAAAATTAGCTGTTCTTATTTTATATAACGATTTTAAATTAAATTTAACAAATATAGCACCTTTATATATAGATACGGTATAATATAAATTTTATTTCTATTAATTAATTTATTTTCTTTATTCTAATGAACTTATATTATAGATAAATACTA